AAATACTAAAACAGTTCAGAAAAATATAAAAATTTTACAGTAATTAATATTGTATGGAATAATGATTTCCTAATAATTTCATAATTTTTCAATACTGTGTACTATTTAAAACCATTTTCCTAAGTATTTAAGCATGTAAAAATGCATTTTAATGATTATTTCATATAAATAATTGTTAAAATCTGTAAATAATTATAATTGGGCAAGTTATTATTTTAATAAGAAATTATTAAAATCTGGCCTAAATTGAAAATATAAATTAATTATGCAAAGTAATTAATTCAATTTAAAATTCATTTAACAAATGAATACCTTAATATTATAATCAAAATGAATTATTGTTAATTCATCTAATATAAGAATATGTGTCTAATTATTTGTATTAGTACTCTATTCTCGTTTAGCAGTTCCTAAACCAAAACTATTAATTATATTAGGTTCTACGCCATTTTGACCCGAACCGTCTATCGTACGACACACGCATTTCGTTTTGGGACTAAGGTGAGTAATCTACCTCATACTTTATAATTTTCAATACTTTTGGGGTGTATCATGTGGTTCTAATATGTTCCAACTTCATTTTATTGTTTTATCACAATTGAGACATTGTTGGGACATTTATACGTGAGTCATTAATTGTATAACTATTGTTTGTTTACGCTACATATACTTGTAGTGCATTACCATTTTTAGTCTAATCTTCATGACTATGCCCGTATTCTTGAGGTACGTTATGGACAATAATAGCGCTATTGGGTTGACCACCCGCCTTGGGACGCTAAGGTGATTGATCGCACGTGGTTGAGTGTGTATGATGATTAGATGCTCCATCCTATATATATTTATATATATATATATATATATATATATATATATACATATATATATATATATATATATATATATATATATACATATGTATATATAGGGTGAGGACTTATTGTTGTTGTTATCATTTGTTAATCAATTTTTGATTTATAAACCGTTATCTCAAATACAATTGTTTGCCGACTTCAAAAGAAAACAAATTTCCAATTATAAAGGTTTCAACTTCACAATTTTCTCTACTAAAATTAGATTACTCACCAACTCTCGTAGTTGACCTGTTTTTACCCATGATGCAGATTTGAAGAATGAAGTTGATGAAAAATAGGTTGTGCCTTAGAAATCCACAAGACTATTTAAATTTGATGTAATAAATGTTGTTCGTATTTGGATTTGTATTTGTATGTTGTGGATCTTGTTTGCATACTTAGTACTTAATTGAATCTAATCATATTATAACATAGTTGTCATGAGACTTTGAACAATATATCACGCCTCGATCAATTCCGACAAGGATCGGGGTGTGACAGTATGTGATATGTGTTTCAGGTACCAGCGATGATCGCGGGAAGGTGCCGGCATGATCTGTACACATTGATGGAGTTTTATGTATTTGAGATCTTGAGATTGTTTTATTTGGAGGACACGTGTTACATTGGATTTTGATACTTATTATGAATGAAATTATGCTTTAAAAATGAAAAAAAAATGTGTTGGAAATTTACGTTGTTACAATACTTAAAGAAAAAAGGTTCAACACACAATCACGACCTTTTTGACAAATTTAATAATTTATAAATAAATATTTAATTATAATAATAGTCGTTGAAACTGTTTATAAAATATGAAAAAAAAATCTTAATAATGTCTTATATTTTTGTATCAAATTTTATAAAACATTATTTAATGCAGTATCATTTATTTCTTAAGAAAAATATTTATGGTCACTTTTTAATTTAATTGAAAAAGTAAAATAAAAATTTTGAAATTTTCATTTAAAATCAAAGTTTATTTTCATCCATTTATGTGTTAAATTCTTTTATCCTTGGTTATAATGTTTATGTATAACTTTTCGATCAAAATTTATTGGTTTTTATCAAATATATACGTTAATTCGTATAATTTTATTCACTTTTTTTTACAATAATACATTAAAGTTGATATACATTTGTTAATTATCTATAGTAAAGTCATAAAATTATTGAAAAACTCTTTTAAGTTTTAAAAAAATCATTTTAATTAGATTTTAGTTTATTCTAACAATCTGCAGATGTTAAAAAACAAACAGTCTTCTTCTTTCAGACTGCAAACGTTTGGTCCATCTTTTCTACTACAGAGGTCTGCAGATGTGATCCGCAGACTGCAGACATTTTGTCTTACAAACAACACCTAAGTAACCATATTTACATAATGACTAATGGAAACAATACTTATAGAAAGTACATGAATAAAGTAATCATCATGAAGAGACATTAGATTGTGATTAAAGTAATTGTTTGATCTGCTTAAACACCAAAGGATCCATAGATGGTGCAAAGATCCTGATATTAATATGAGGTGGGCGAGGTGTCGATGGAGCATGACTAGATGATTGGTGTAATTGAAAAGACCTGTTTTGTTGTTGATGTTGCTAGAAAGGTTGTTGTTGTTACTTATTTTCTCTACTAAGAAATATAAGCATTAAGACTTCCAATGATTCTTCTGTTTGTTAAAAAAAACACATTTATGTTAAGTTGTAGAGACTGGTTCACTCATTGACCTAATAGTCGTTAGGCAAACCAAGCATGGGGTCCCACTCCCGAAAGAGTGGAAATAGATCAAGGGGGAGCCGCTTCTTGCGGGGGATAGGGCAGCACCCTGATGATCCGAGAAGAAATTTTTCGTGGGTTAGTTCGTATATCATATGCAACACTAAATTTCATTATTAACTAGATTTATCAGAGTTGTTTTTTAGGCTTTGGCTTATTGGCAGTTTTAGGGTTTCTCGCTAGTATTTATGTTTCTTGAATTCGTGTAACCTACATCACTCAAGCTGTTTGGCAGAAATAATAAAACTTTCTCTCGTGTCCTCCCGTGGACATAATCGATGATCGTGTAAACCACATAAATTGTTTGTGTTCTTATTATTTGTTTTTGCATAATTACTCATAATGAAATCGTTTGTTATCTGTCGAACTCCTTAAACCCTAACAATTTATCCATAGCAACGTTAGCATCAGGACTTGTGTAATTATTAGGTTGAGATCATTATGGAGCTACAAAAATAATAGGAGTAATAGATGGTTTAGACCCATTATTGATATGAAACTTAAGACTAATTTCGTTTAATAACAATTCATTGACCATAGTCAACAGATAGAAGAGGGGAATGATGATGAATTGTCTCATGCAATCCCTTAAATTAAAACAAACAGCCATTAGGAATTATACCAAATAATTTTATTCACCCATAGTAATATATGGTGCAAATGAGTGCAACTCAATGGATTCCGTTAGCACCAACTAATCTCATATTTTAGCCACAGTGGCATACAATCTTGAATGCTCATATCGTTATGTTGAAAAGCAGGAATATGTCTCTACTGATATTGTTTTGAAAAATTCAATTGGGTGTACAATCTAGCCAAATGATCCCAAACTTGATAATATTATACTCCGTATTTAGCCAACTTACAACAATAAATTGGATGATTTACTTGTTGACCATGTAGACTCTCAAGCATCGACTGTGTTGTATAATCAACAACTTTCATCGTGTGGTTTAACCTTTAACCGGTATCCCACTAATGTAACTCCACATAGATTTTTTTTTTTTTTTTTTTTATAATCTCGATAGCATAACTATAATGCCCATATACTTTTTACCATGTAATTGAACACTAAGGTACCGTATGGTAACTGAAACTGAACTGGACATAACAAAACAATGTTTTTTTAACAGACGTTTGGTACGGATGGAACAGAACTAAATTTAATTATTGACTAAGTCAATGGGACTAAATGATAAAATTTTAGTCTCACCTAAAAGGGTGGAACAAGATGGAACAAACTTATAATGACAGAAACACCCTCTCCGTATTCATCAGTTTTATTGTTTGCAAGTCTCAATTCACGATTCCTAAAACAACGATTCATAATTTTTTTTTGAAATAGCACTAATAAGTTTATATAATTAAGAAAGATGATAGATAATAATTTAAAACTAATATATCAAACCATCGTGGCCTTTGTTCACGAAGATTGCCTCCAAACTTTTTGTTTCTCACTTTTGATTGGAAAAGAAAAGCCGAAAGTTATTATATACATAAGAAATGCAATATTTTATAATTTACAACGACTTCGAAGTGATAAGCGAAAAATACAATTGGATAATCAATTGTTTTAATTTGGAGATTACAAATACGATTATTATAATAGCACATTCGGATATTTGATTGTTTGAGAGAAGGTGGGTGAAAGGTAGGGAAATCGTATGCAGCAAGGGTCTAATAAGATAATAATAATAATAATATATATAAAGGACAATTTTGTAATTTTAATGTATTGTCCCGTTTTGTACTAGTCAAACCAAACGTTGGATATATAATATATTTAGTTCAATCAAGTCCAGTACTGTTCCGTTCCGTCCATGTACCAAACACTACCTAATTGACACGGTGCTTAACATCAAAACTCTTTTACTCAAACAATGAATGGTTATGAACAAACATATATAACACTAACCCATGTGCTGAAAACAGGATGTAACACTAGGGAATGCAATAATACAAGGTTGTCATCGTACTATCCTAAGTAAGAAAAAAAACGAGTCAGATCATATACGGATCGTATTTTGGTAGGATCGTAGAATTAGGAGGCTATCTAATCCTACCTTCCCCTTTTTTTTTTTTTTTTTTTGCTTTCTCTTGTTTTTTCTTCTTTTGAATACTTATTTCTATTCTTCTATTCTTTTTCTTTTATGTGCATTCATATACACTTTTTTGGAGATGAAAATGCAATGAAACTAAACCAATATGCAAAGTAAAAGCTAACAAAAGGTATTAAAGTATAGATTTAATTTGAAGTGGTAACAAACCGTTAAAACCAAAATAAATATTAAAAAAAAAAGATACACAAATGACAAAACCCATCCTCTTTTTTATCTTTTTTGATATGATATTCTCTTTTTTTTTTGTTTCGATAAATAACATTTTTAAAAAAGAAAATATGAATAAGAAAGGAAATAAATGATCACAAAGGACTAAAAGGCTCAGGGAGAGACTCGAACCCATGATCAAACAAAAGAGCTTCATCAGTAGTTTTGTCATCCGCAGTGTGCAACCAGCTTGTGTTTTTAAGGTCTTCTTTGAGTAAAATAGCATCGTACCTTGAACTCTCATACATGTCAACTTCCGATGATAGTTTAGAAGAATGTGGGCTTTGATCTTCCATGGGCCCACCACCACCACCACCTCTGTTCCATAAATACCCATTATTACTATAATTCCCATTTTCAGATCCACCGCCATCTACAGAACTTGCACGTGTAACTGTAGGGTGGGCCCTGGAGTTGCTTGACCGAATGCTTTGTGGGAAAAGCGTTGACCCTGAAAGTGGTCGTACACCTCCATTTCTTATATCCTGTACACATTTTAAAATATACCAATATTAATTAACATCTATTTATAAAGTGTATTTATTGAGTTATTCAATATTCAATATTCATACCATATGTTTAATTGCCATATCCAGTGATTTCTTTGAGATATTCCTCCCAAATCCTGTTCCATTTTCCGAATTTGAAGACGACTTTACAGGTTTTCTTGTTACTGATTGTGGCAAATGAGAAGTTCTTCTTGGATCCAAACTCTCAACAACATTCCCATTAGAATTAGGACGCAACCTTCCGCTTCCGGAAGGTTCCGGAAGCCGTCCCCTAATCACATTAGGGGACGAATGTCTTCTCGTGATGGTCCCACTTCCGGTGTTTGAATTGTCTAAATTACCCTTCACAGTAGTGGACCCACCTGGTCTTGACCTACCAGCAGACAGAGGTCGATCTGGTAAAGTCGTTCTAAGATTCGGCGGTGTTTCATGAGGGAAATCCATTATATTCATAGGCTGAGGTGGCGGGCGTACACGTGGACTAGGAGAACTCGGTCTTGAAGTGGACCCCACTGTACTACTTCGTCCATTTGAAGTCAACCCACGTGAGGTAGAAGTCAAAGATGAGGTGGATGGGGTGAGAGAAGGTGTTAGGGTTCTACGTGTAGGGGTTGATGACCTGGAAGGTGGTCGAATTGTAGGAGAAGGTGTCAAGTTTCCAGGTGTTTGTGGTCTTGAAGTAGGTGTTGAAGGTCTTGTGTTTTGTCTTATTGGGGTGGGGGTAGGGGTAGGGGTAGGGGTGGGGGTGGGGCGGGTTCTAGAAGGAGTTGAAGTTCTTGAAGGGGTTGTTCGGGTAGATGGGGTAGAAGGTCTTGCAGTTTTAGTAGGGGTAGAAGGTCTTATATAAGAAGAAACAGAAGCAGAGCTTGTGTTTAAAATGTTGGTGTTTCTGCTAGAATAGTTTGTATATTGTGTGGTGGAGATGGAGGATCGAGTCACTGAACTGCTTCTTGCAGGTCTTGAAGGATGATTGCTCTCAGATTGAGATACAGATAGCTGTAATTCAGGGACATTGATTATAATGATGATGATGAATGATGAATGGTTATCCTGGAATGTTCTAGAAACTAGGATTGTAAGAGATAATGGTAGTAGAATTAGGAAAGAAAACTAACCCTTGAAGTTTTGTTTATGGAACTTGATCTTACTGAAGATTTGCTTCTTGCAGTGACACGTGCAGGTTGTTGAGACTCTTTTCCATCCAAAGAAGGAAAGAGAGGAGTTCCTGGGGGAGTTAGAAGCCTGTTAACACAAAAGGTAATGCTTCATATTTGTAATTCGAATCTGATAGTTTCAGAAATTGAGTAAGAAAAGATATAGAAGCAGTTTTATTAGGTTCTTAAGTGTAAGTGTAAGAGATGATATCAAGTATCAATAAGAATTCATGGGAAATCAATCAGCAGACACAATAATTGGAAATGGGTAGTTAAGTAGTATACTAGTGTATAGAACAGGAGGGTATCTATTAGTACACAGCTGGAATCAGATGGAAGATGTAAGTAATCTACCAACAAGATAATATGATTTGACAGATCTGTCATTAAATACATGTGATTCTGGAAAAGAATGAAGCTAGATCTGAACTAAAAGCGAGATCATGGAGTTACTAGAAATCTTACCAATCGTAGTCATTCTTTCCCCCTTCATTGGAATTCAGAAGATCATCTAATATGCTTTTCGCAGGTTTTGCTGATCCAACTGAAAGTGTCGCTAATCTCGCTTGCACTGTAGAAAATTTCAATTAAGAAGAAGAAATTGTTATGTAAAACAAATAATCGTAGTGATTAAAGAAGTGGGAACAATCGAAACGTTAGCATAAATCCAAAGAAGAAGCATATTATAGGGGCAAAAAGTTAAAAGTTTATTGCAAATCCAAACTAGTCAAGCAAAATCCTAACATAAACGACATCGTTTTCCACGATTCATCCCCAAAATACTCCAGCTATCGTTTTCAAATTGCGCTTTCTCATCACAAAACCATATCCTGCTTATACAACTCCGACAGGAAATCGTATAGAAGACATGAAGCATATGAATCAAGTCTAAGTACTAGAACTTAGAAAACAAAAAAAAAAGGTAAACGTACAGTCCGATTCGTCGGAAGAGGCAGCTGGGAGACTAGTGCGACTACGAGAGAAGAGATCCATGTTGTTACTGCTGTTGAAATTCTCAGATGCGTTGTTTTTTGTGAAAGACATTCCTCGCCGGTGAGACAATACTCCGTTGGTCATAGCATTATGATTGTTGCTATGATTATGATTCCGACCTCCGGCACCGACCATAGAGTCCTTGGATGAACTCCGATTCATCATGATACACCAATAAAAACTAGGAATTCATGTGATAAACTCTGGAAAACGGATAGAAAGAGAGAGTCGATGAGGTTGCTTGGCTCGTGCAAGATTTACGTCAGAGAGAGAGAGAGAGAGAGAGAGAGAGAGAGATCTGGTTGACGGAGTAGATGAGTGAAGTTTACGAGCAGCCATGTGACTATTTCATCCATCCACCTTCCATTCCACTGTATCAATTTTTATTTTATTTGTTTAAATCCAAATCCAAATCCATCTTCAAATCGGATCTACTTATAGTTACATTTAAATTATATTATAATAAAAAGTACATGTGTAAAAAGATATTTGCTTTATTACGTTTGATAATGATAATTTTATTATAAAGAGAATTATTTGTTTTGTAACATTTTGTGCATTTCTTTTTTTAATGTTTGTGTTTCTAGATTAATTCAATGAGCGAAATAAAAAGTCCGGTATGTTATGTGAAAGCATTGAATTCAATTTTTTAAAAATATAGCCTACCAAAACTCCAGTAGACTACAAATGAGAATCTAAACTTATGATCACTTGTAGTAATTGGTAAAAACAAGTTCAAGTTATTTAAATTTTATGTGGTCCTTATATGAGAAAAAAATGAATAAGTTAGAGAAAACATATTTTACGAAAATATTTGGAATTACATGAAAATTTACAAAAACGAAACAAAAATATCTAATATAATAATAGTTAGTTGTATGAGATAGCAAATTAAATTAATAAAAATACATAAATAGCATGTATTATATATGTAGCGATGGTAAAAAGGGTTGAAACCCCATAAACTCGACACTACCATCAAATCTTGTAGTATCTTCAACTGTTATATTTACTCTATCTATCAATGTTTCGACCATATACAATGTTCTTCGCTTTTAACCTCGAGCAACTACAAGATTCCCCTTGGTTACTTTCCATTGGTGATTTCCGGAGTCAATATGGTATCCTTTGACATCCAATTGACCCATTAATATCAACTTCCTCTTTAGATTTGGAATGTACTTGACGTTTTTCAACATCTCATACAAACCTATGGTTGTCTTTTGGACAACATTGCCAAGTCCAGTGATATTTAGGCTTTTGTTATCAACAATTCGTACTTCACCGTTGTAATGCTTGAAATTAGGCATCACGTTTTTATAATGAGTCATGTGAAACAAGGCTTCACGTTTACGCAAACAAATAAGGACATCATCAAAATTTTCTTCCATATTAACTTCCTTCTCCCCTTTCTCGATCGAAGGTTTTAGGAATTGATTTTTTAGGTGTCATTCTCTTTACAGTTCTAGCAAGTAATATCCTTCTTGCTTTGGGATTTCCTTATCCTCCTGGATTTCCATATTCTCCTTGAAAGTTATACACAATCAAAATAAATGAGATGTATTTATAGTGAGTAGTTACATTGACCTAAAATTTTAGGTTAGGCTAATAGGCCTATGACAGATAGACATAAAATCAAACTTGTTCCCCAAGGTAGTAAAATCAATATTGAAGCTCTGACTAAAGCTGTTTTGTTGCCACTCGGGAATGGAACTTCTCGGAACTCCACAATAAAGACTCTGCGGACAACTCTAAATCACAATAGAGACTCTCCGGACAACTCCAGGTCGAAGCTTTAACACTAAAACTCTACGCTTCGGAACCTTTGACCAAGACTACACTCTTTGTTGTGCCCTAGGTCGAAGTTGTTACAACAACTTTGCCTTCACCGTTTAGGTTAGCCTCCATACCTCAACATCCATATCATCCCATTTCACTTATATATACACTATTTATCATTTTTTTATATATTCTTTGTAGTTTGAAAATAATAACAATGCAATAGTTATATATGAAATGTTTTCCCTAAAACTAAAACTTAAAGTTTTGATCTTTTTTGGAGATTTTGAAGAAAAAAGGGATTATGTTATAATGTGTATGAATTGTGTTCTTATGCATATAGTCGAATATGCCTGACCTTGACATTACTTAATGGACTTTCCAAGCTTATTACAATATTTTGATGTGTGCTCAAGTCAGTAGCAATATAATAGTGCATTTTGAAGAATCGATGAACTAACATGGATTTTTAAAACAAGACTTTGTTTTAATACTTACCCTCTTATATTAATATGATGCAGTTGTCTATCTTTTAACAACTTACTTATGTTTAATAAAAACACTCTATAAATATTACTTCGTGGTATTTCGGGACCATTTATATACGTCATGGAATTATTTCCATCCATATTCTTTAAATGATTCCACTTTTTGATATATGTGTAGAAGGGGATATTGGTCCTTTGCAAATACTCTATTAGATAATGTGTAGTCGACACACATTCTACTTGATTCATTATTTATTTTTACCAAGGTTAGTTACATGAGAATGTCCCCTTCAGATATTGTCTTCTACTAAATTTTACAACATCCACTATTGTTTTGCAAATTTTCGTTGCCGCTTTTATTTTTCTTATTTGGGATGATGGATGGTTAGTCTTTGTTTGACTATCTACATTCATGCATCCATCGTGTTCGTTGCTTGGCTTGCAAATACTTGGATGTTGAACTTGTCGAGATGTATGTCTCATTTCCAAAATAGTTGGATGTTTTATTGCATTTAGCTCTCAATATCTAGTTTAATAGTTGTTGGTAGTGAACTGCATATTCTTTCTAATTTCTCGTGGTATAAGTCATTGATCACTACATTTTCTTCCTTTCCATTGCCACCATCTATTTTTGGACTTTCATTTCGATTATATATATATATATATATATATATATATATATATATATATATATATATATATATGTGTGTGTGTGTGTGTGTTATTTAGCTACATTTTTCTCTTGCCCGAGGCATGCTATCTAGCATAGCCATCCCCTGCCCCAAGGCTCTTGTGTACAACGTAATCTATTGGAAGCGCACGAATTTCATGTAACTCATGATAAGTTATGCAATTAATACATCTTTATGTTCAAGTATATCATAATAAAACAACTTGTTACATTATAAATATCGTCTATGTAGATCAAATAAGGGTTGTGGTGGAAATCTGGATTCTCAATGGATCGGTCGCTTTCCGAACTGGTATTTCTACCCTATGTCCGACTTATAAGAAATCTAGTGTAGGATAATCCAAATAGACACTCATTAATTTAGGAATAGAAATGTAACCCAAATTGCTAGACAATTCTGAGATTGTTTAGAAGAGAAAGAGTTGAGAAGGTTGTAATATGATTCAAATAGGAGAGACGTATTATACTTGGTGATTAGGGTTTCCGTATTCTGAATTAGTTAAGTAAATCATGAAATTAATGACATAATCAATGGTTTCCACAATTGACGAGATCTGTAAATATAACTTCACAATATTCATTACTATTTAAATGAAATTTTAATAGACTAATTTAAACAAGCTCATATGAGGGGTGTTTCGGGACCATTCATATGCGTTGGGGGATTATTTACATTTGTATTCTTTAAGTGATTCCACTTTTTGATATATTTTTAGAAGGGGATATTGGTCTTTGGAAATACTCTATTAGATTATGTGTGTTGACACATATTCTTCTTGATTCATTGTTTATTTTTACCAAGGTTAGTTGGATATTCCGATGAGAATGTCCCCTTCAAGATATTGTCTTCTACCAAATTTTACGACATCCATTATTGCTTAGCCCAGCTTCGTTGCCACTTTTATTTTCTTATTTGGGATGATGGATGGTTAGTCTTTGTTTGATTATGTTTGATTATCTCTCTGAATTAGCCAATGGCTCCCCCCTATAACCCCGCGAGGGGGCGCGACCCCGCTGATCCCGGTCATTTTGGCGTACCGACTTATCATTCGATCTTATATATGTGTATACTCCGCACTCACCAAACATATAATATAGAGTACAAATTATAAGCCTCATAGCGTAAATATTAGTTTCAATTACACAAAATATATGATGACATTAAAATCACCAACAATCTACCATGATATTCAAATAAAAATAAGAATCGTGGGAATGTTAAATGACTTTACTTACGGTTTTTTATGTCGCATTTTATGCCATGCAAGTTTCTCAACAAAGTCTTCACTTCCAAAATATTGTTATTAAATACCTAAAATCTTTTTCGATGTCTAATAAAGTTATTTCCTTTGAGATACCTCTTTCGGACTGAAGCAAGAAGAATGATTCAAAATAAAGGTTTTAGAATATGTTCATTCATTGAAAAAGTGGCATTTGTGTCATTTTTGGTTTGACGTGTTGGTGGGTCGTTAAAGCTCAACTCGCACACGAGCCATATGAATATATGTGTCGTCCTATTCAACACTAACATGGATTAGCCATAAAAAAGTAAACTCGTGTAACCTTTTTATTATATGGGTTCGCGAATTCGTTGGTCAAATTGAGATTTGTGGGATAGAATCGGGTTCGTAGGTCACGGGAAAAGAGTCTAAATATCGCATATTTACTTATTAGTCTCTACTCTCTCTTTTATTTAATAAATGCATCGTTTAATTTTTTTAATCAAATAAAAAAACGGGTTCACAGGTCAACCCGCGAAATTATTTGCGAACCTGAACACGACCCATATAATAAACGGGTTGGTGGGTCAGAAAAACACAACCCAAACTCATGTAGCTTCGTGTCGGGTTCGGCCGTGTCAAGAATTTTCACTCCTATTGACAATGTCGATGTTAATCAATAATTCTTAAATAAAATGTCAAGGTGGATATAAGTTCCCTTGTCCTGATCAAATTTTAATGAGAACAACTATTGGAATTTTAATTTTAATTTGCAGAGTTTTTGCATTCCACATTTTTTTAGTAACAAGGTTTGATTATTGGTTCATTTCAATATAACAATTTATTAGATGTAGACGTTAAAATCAAGTTGTTTGGATTTTATGAACATGGCATGTGTTAATTCCATAGGTTGAAAGATATAAATATATTGAATTAATGTGGAATACGACGTTTTGATCATGATCTTTTGAAGAAGATGCAACACTTGATAGTCTAATAAGTGTAACTTTCATCATGTTTCTTGTTGCTTTCTTTCTTGCAACCCCACAACCAAAACAAATGGGTAGCAAAGTGGGTAGATTTTGTGTCGTGTAAGGAGTTTTATTGTGTAATATTTAATAGAAATATTG